AATTGTTAATTAATGGAAAAGAATTTGAAGGGATAATGGATACGGGAGCAGACAAAAGCATTATTTCACTCCATTGGTGGCCGAAGTCTTGGCCCACTGTTGTTTCATCTCATTCTCTACAAGGTCTTGGATACCAGTCCTCTCCTGCCATCAGTGCCTCAGCCTTAACCTGGCGGAACGCTGAGGGCAAACAGGGATGTTTTACCCCCTATGTGTTGCCACTCCCTGTAAATTTATGGGGACGGGATGTGTTACAAGCCATGGGCATGACCCTAACTAATGAATACTCCCCCAGGCATCAGCCATTATGGCAAAGATGGGGTATACAAACGGTAGAGGCTTGGGTAGGCAAGAACAAGGCAGAATAAAACCCATTACACAACATGGAAATCGGGGTAGAAAAGGACTGGGTTTTATTTAGGGGCCGTTGAGGCTTCACGACCCATACCGTGGAAAACAGAGGAGCCGTTATGGGTCTCTCAATGGCCTCTATCCTCTGAAAAATTAGAGGCTGTCACAAGATTAGTGCAAGAACAGGAACGGCTGGGGCATCTAGAGCCTTCTACCTCCCCATGGAATACACCAATTTTTGTTATTAAGAAGAAATCTGGGAAGTGGAGATTACTCCATGACCTGCGGGCCATTAACAATCAGATGCATCTTTTTGGCCCTGTTCAAAGAGGACTTCCTTTGCTTTCTGCACTCCCTCAAGATTGGAAGCTTATTATTATAGATATTAAGGATTGTTTCTTCTCTATTCCACTTTACCCACGGGATAGACCAAGGTTTGCCTTCACTATCCCTTCTCTTAATCATATGGAACCAGACAAGAGATTTCAGTGGAAGGTACTGCCGCAAGGCATGGCCAATAGCCCAACAATATGTCAGCTGTATGTGCAGGAGGCTTTGGAGCCAATTAGGAAGCAATTTACATCTTTAATCATGATCCATTATATGGACGATATTCTTATTTGTCACAAAGAGTTAGATGTTTTACAAAAGGCTTTTCCCATGCTGGTGGCTGAATTAAAACAGTGGGGATTAGAGATTGCCTCAGAAAAGGTTCAAATTGCAGATACAGGGCTCTTTTTGGGCTCAATGATTACTCCCAAAAATATAGTTCCTCAGAAAATAGAAATTCGCAAAGACCACTTACAAACATTAAATGATTTTCAGAAACTTCTGGGAGATATAAATTGGTTGAGGCCCTTTTTAAAAATTCCATCTGCTGATCTAAAACCCCTCTTCGATCTCCTGGAGGGTGAGCCTCATATCTCCTCACCCAGAAAATTTACCCCTGCTGCCCACCGAGCCTTACAGATGGTGGAAGAGGCCTTACAGGAAGCACAATTACAACGTATTGAGGAGTCACTACCTTTTAATCTGTGTGTTTTTAAGACAGCTCAATTGCCAACTGCAGTCCTGTGGCAACATGGACCATTACTTTGGATTCATCCAAATGCTTCCCCTGCTAAGATTATTGACTGGTACCCTGATGCTGTTGCACAGCTCAGCTTCGCGGAATAAAAGCAGCTGTTACGCATTTTGGCAGGGATCCTGATTCCTTGATTGTGCCTTATACTGCTGCACAAGTTCAGACCTTGGCAGCCACATCTAGTGATTGGGCAGTTTTAGTTACTTCCTTTTCAGGACAAATTGATAATCATTTTCCAAAGCATCCAATTTTACAGTTTGCCCTAAACCAGGCTATAGTGTTTCCACAAGTGACAGCTAAAGACCCACTCCCAGATGGGACTGTGGTGTACACTGATGGATCAAAAACTGGTATGGGAGCTTATGTGGTCAAGGATAGGGTTATATCTAAACAATATAATGAAACTTCACCTCAAGTTGTAGAATGTCTGATAGTACTGGAGGTTCTTGAGGCTTTTCCAGGACCCCTCAATATTGTATCAGATTCCTCTTATGTGGTTAATGCAGTTAATCTCCTTGAGATAGCTGGAATAATAAGATCCTCCAGCAGAGTTGCTAACATCTTTCAGAAGATACAAGCTGCCTTGTTAAATAGGAGATTTCCTGTTTTCATTACCCATGTCCGAGCACATTCTGGACTCCCAGGTCCCATGTCCTTAGGGAATGACTTAGTGGACAAGGCTACAAAGCTGGTGGCCGCTGCCTTGTCTACCCACACACAAGCAGCAAAAGAATTCCATCAGCGCTTTCATGTGACGGCTGAGACCTTGCGCCGTCGTTTTGCTCTATCCAGGAAAGAGGCTAGGGAAATTGTTACTCAATGCCAGAATTGCTGCGAATTCTTACCTGCTCCCCACGTGGGAATAAACCCACGTGGCATTAGACCATTGCAGATGTGGCAGATGGATGTTACTCATATTCCCTCTTTTGGAAGGCTTCAATATGTTCATGTTTCTGTTGACACCTGTTCTGGCGTAATGTTTGCCACACCCCTAACAGGGGAAAAGGCCTCATATGTGATTCAACATTGCCTTGAGGCCTGGAGTGCTTGGGGAAAACCCAGAATTTTAAAAACAGACAATGGACCAGCATATACCTCTCAAAAATTCCGACAGTTTTGTCGGCAAATGGATGTTACCCATCTAACTGGCCTACCTTATAACCCTCAAGGACAGGGCATTGTGGAACGTGCCCATCGTACACTCAAATCATATCTGATTAAACAAAAGGGGAGTATTGAGGATGTTCTACCCTCGGTACCAAGAGTTGCTGTGTCCATGGCACTTTTTACCCTTAATTTCTTGAACTCTGATGCCCAAGGCCACACTGCGGCCGATCGCCACAGTTTAGAGCCTGATAGGCCAAAAGAAATGGTAAAATGGAAAGATGTCTTGACTGATCTCTGGAAAGGCCCGGATCCTATTCTTATAAGATCCAGGGGAGCTGTGTGTGTTTTTCCACAGGAGGAAGAAAACCCCCTGTGGATCCCTGAAAGACTCACTCGAAGAACTCCTTCACAACTCCAGAATAAGAAGGATGGAGGCCAGGTGGGTGATGAAGACTCTCCTACTCGGGGGTTCCTAGTATGATGGGAGAGTTACGGTGGGCCATCATGTCTACCTTCCCCCTACCGATGCCAGTGATGCATAATGCCCAGGAGTTCCCTAGATTTTTCACAACTAATAGAGAGTTGGGGCTTGCCTTTTTGCCTTTAGATCCTCAGATACAGAGTTTTCAGGATGAGAGAACCTTGTCATTGGTAGGAAGCTTGTGCTTTACTGTGATTTCTTCATTAAAGGATAATTTTATTCATATGGATCCAGAAAGATCTAATGCTAATCCTTTTGAATTAATGGAAGCTATACTGATCTTTCTCCTATGGCAATGATTGCTGGAGGATATAGTGAGAAGGGACAGATTACTTTTGATTGGAAAGGGGCATTAGGCAACAGTCTGAGTGAGGGACAGAGCTCTGGATCATCTGATTGGTCCTCCTCCAATGTTAAGTATACCCCTTTTAAGAGAACTAATTATTCAGCTGCTCCAATTTGTGTTTGGCTGCCCTTTATTTGGGTTGTGAGTAATGATACCTTAGGTAAGAATCAGAAAGAAATAAATTGCTCTGCTTAGAATTGTTTTTATGCATTATGCTGGGATGCTATTAAGCACCCTTTTGCTTTGGTAATGCGCATGCCTCGATTTGTTCCAGTTCCTGTTGAGGTGCCAAGTAGTTTGAGTTTGTTTAGGGAAAAGCGAGATTTTTGGGATCGCTGCTATTATTGTGGGCCTGATAGCTGCCGCCGCGGTTACTGTTTCGGTTACCGCCTCGGCCCTTGCACTTTCCGCCACTGTGCAGACAACTCAAACCATTAATGAACTATCAGCCACTGTGACCATGGCCCTAGATAAACAGGCCACTGCCAATTCTCAGATACAAGGAGGCCTGATGTTGGTAAACCAACAGATTAATTTGGTTCAGGAACAATTGGATATATTGTGGCAGATGGCCCAATTGGGATGTGAACAAAAGTTGCCTGGCCTTTGTGTCACTTCAGTACAATATGAGAATTTTACAAGAGCAGCTAACCTGTCAAAAGCTCTGTCTCAACATTTATTACAGAATTGGACTTTTGAGTTTGAGCAGACACTCCGTGAGTTGAGAGTGGCGATCCTGCAAGTGAATTCCACGCGTCTGGATCTTTCTCTGATGGAAGGCCTCTCCTCCTGGATTTCATCTGCATTTTCTTATTTTAAGGAATGGGTGGGGGTGGGATCATTTAGCCTAGTTCTCTGCTGTGGAATAGTGTTGATGCTTTGGATGGTGTGTAAGCTCAGAGCCCAAACAAAAGAGACAAAGTGATGGTGGCACAAGCACTTGCTGCCTTAGAACACGGAGCCTCCCTGACATTTGGTTAACCATGTTAAAGCAATAGGTCGCTGGCCTCCCGGCTCTTGCACCCCACGAGGCTAGTCTCATTGCACGGGATAGAGTGGGTAGGCTTCAGCAGCCCAAGGAGTTGCAAGGCTAAGCACTGCACAGGAGAGGTCTGCGGTATAACGACTTTCTCCTGGGAGATAAGTCATCTTGCATGAAGGTTCTATGTCATGATCTCCTTCCCCCAGAAAAACGACATCGGGACTGGTCAGGGCTCCCTCTGGGGATAAGACCCTGGAGAGGAGCTTTGTACATGTTCCAAATTTGCACATGGGGATTTGACCTCTATCTCCACTCCAAAGTTGTGGGTGTCCTATGGCTTCAAAAATAAATGAATAGGGGGAGATGTGAGGAGCCACCCTCACTATCGCTATCGCCATTAGAAGATGGCGCTGACATCTGCTGTCAGTTGGAGTTTACCGTTTAAGCTGTGCCTCACCCGTCATCTGGGGTGATGAGCAAACCACCAATCCCGGCTCTACACGTCTCACTCGGAGCTCCTAGGCTTATATAAGGGGCTGGGTTTCTTAGCTTGGGGTCTCCCTCTCAGAAGCTGATCATCTATCTCTCAAGATGTATTAAAGCTTTACTGCAGAAGGATCCGAGTGTCCTGCGTCGTTCTTGCTGGCGAGACGGTAGCGCGGGACACTTGTGTAAAGTAAGTACAAAGAGTTTTCTTTTTCTTACACATAATCTATCTTCTTTGGAGGCAGCATCTTGCTGTGTAGCCTAGGCTAACCTATAATTGAGTAGGTTTCCCAGGCTGACCTCAAACTTTCAATCCTCCTACCTCAGCTTCCCCAATTATGGGCTTACAAAACTTTCCATCATTCCCAGACCCCATTGCTTTATTAAAAAACCTTGTTTTGAATTATTTCACGCAATATATTTTGATAATGGTTTTCTCCCTTCCCAATTCCTCCCAGATCCACCCATGCCCCTACCCATTCAACTTTATGTTCTCTTTCTAAAATAAACTAAAACAAAACACACACACACACACACAGTAAGAAAAAAATGGCCAAATAAGGCAAAACGACATAAAAAGTCTACAAAACACCATCAAGTTTGTTTATGTTGGTCAACTACCCCTGGGCACGGGGCTTGCCCTGCGTAGTTGCTGTACCGACTCCAGTGGAGAAACCCGATTCTCCCTTTGCCAGTGGGTATCTGTTGCAGATAGCTTTTTGGTTAAGGGTGGGAGCTGGTGTCCATTTCCCCTCTCAGTGCCGGGAATCCCGTCTGGTTTGAACCTTGGCAGACCTTGTGCATGCTACCATGGAAGATTCCTTGGTGTCATCTATCACCTCTGGCTCTTACAACCCTTGTTCCCCCTCATCCACATAGATCCCTGAGCCCTGGGGTCAGGCATTTGATGCAGATAGCCCATTTAGGACGGAGCGCTCCCAAGTGTCACACCTCCTGCGCACTGTCCAGTTGGGGGTCTCTGCTTCAGCTCCCATCTGCTGCAGGAAGGGGCTTCTCTGATGGGAGCTTAGGGAGGTGCTGATTTGAGTCCTAGCCCAGCGTCTCCAGTGTTTCTTTTTTAATCCAAAAAACCAAACCAAACCAAACCAAAATATTTGATGCTCTTCAAATTTCTAGCGAATTTCTCTTGTAAAATTACAAGATGACATAGTCAAACATGTCAAATTGCTATCATTTTCAATTTTGATCCCTAAAAATGCTCCCCTGACTGACATGTCAAGACAGCCATTTTCTTAGTCTTTTCCCATCCCCCTGAAAATTCTCTCATCTCTCCTGTGCTAGATTCTGGTTAAGCCCATTTCTCCCCCTTGTTTTAGTCCTTACTCAAACGGAGCATATCCTCAATGCCTTCCCTAGAAAAGTACTCAGAGGTAAAAATTTTAAGACTTCTTTTCTGGAAACGTTTAATACTCATTTCAACTGATGTTTTGCCATAGTATAGAATTCAAAATTAGAAGCCCGTTCCTTCCCAATTTTAATATGTTGTTCTGTTGTCTTCTAATTTGGTGACAGTCTGACCTCTATTTCTCCCTGACAGCATTTATGATCTTCGTTTCTGATGATCTGAAGTTTGGGGATGACAGACTTTGATGTGAGAATTTCTTTGTAGGGGGCTTCTCCTGAATGCCTTCACCTTACACATCCTGCCTTATTACTCTCGGTTTTCTATTATTAGTGAAATTGAAGTAACACAGATTTACCTGGAGTCCTCAACTTACGGCCTTTGCAACCAGAACACAGAGGGACAAGCCCATTCGAGAAGAGCAAGGCCAGTCTGAAGGTCGGGAGTGTGGGCAAGAGACAGCTGTGTGAAGATCAGGACTGTGCCTGCTGAAGCACACCAGTGCGACCATGCTCAGTGGGCAAGTTTCTGACCCAGTGTAGCAGGCAAAGAACAATGAAGTTGCAGTCAAGCCTCAGAGGTTCTCCCTTGCCATGAGGAAAAGCGTCGGAGCCTTTGTACACAGGCTCTAGTGTGAACACACAGGAATGGGTGTGTGTTCACATACTTGTGTGCATGCCCATTCATGTGTGCAAGTGTGCGAGTATGTATGTCTATGTAATCACATGTGTGTATATAAATATGCATATGGATGCCTCTGTGTGTCTGTGTTGCTCACAATACTGTTTGGAGTGGATAGAATAGGGTGAAAGGCCACAAATCCTGACTTTGTAGAAATGAGATACATATGTGTCTACACACCCACTCTCACAGGTTTGTACTCTCAGTTCTCTTTGAACCTGAGGCTTCTCTGACCTCTGTCCTCAACCCTGGCAGATTTCCAAGCTGCTTTTCATCCTTTTTGTTTCCTTTTTGACAACCTCTTGTAATTATTGCAATTAAGAAAACATTTAATAAAAGTATATATATATATATACATATATATATATATGCATTGACGGAGTTATGTGCATGTGAGTGTAATGTCCTTGGAGTCCAGAAGAGGGCATCTGATGTCCTGGAGCTGGAGTTGTGAACCACCTAACATCGGTGCTGGGAACCAAATTCCATCTCTTAAATCTCCCCAGCCCTCAAGTCCTGTGATTTATAGTAAAATACCTGCTTGTTTCCTAGCCAGACACTGTGCTCAGTCCTTTATGTCATCTCATTAATGTTTCCTGGATCTCTGTGGAATAGATATTATACATCATTTCCAGGTAAGAAAACAGAGACTGTGAGAGGGGAAGTAATGTACCTGCATCTTATCATTTATAAACTGCAGAGCATTCATCTGGACCCAGGTCTGATTCCAAACACGACTTTTGTACTGTGGTCAATGGAGCAAATGTTTATTGGGAAGCTACTGCTGGGCACCTTCCTGACTGCTGGGAAATCATATTAAACAGACAAGAGCATCAGGCTTCATGGAGCTTACATTCCACCAGTGGAAATAAAGCATGCAAGCTAAATAGCAGAGTGTATCAGACATAAATAATACTTAGAGCTAAGGGGGGAGCAGAAAAGAGGGATGGGGAGAACAACAGTCTGGAGTTGAAGCTTAGGATGCTTCTGGAGCTTGGGTTGTTGCTGGGAGGTGCTGGGGTGTGAGTGATGCTGGGGTCTGGGAGGTGCTGGGATCTTGGTTGTGCTTGGATCTGGGTGGTTCTTGGATTTGAGTGGTTCTTGGGTTTGAGTAATTCTTGGGTCCATGTTGTACCTGGATATGTAAGGAATTGGGATTTGGGTGGTTCTGGGTTCTGAAGAGTGCTTGGGTCTGGGTGATGTTTTGGTGTGGGTGAGGCTGGGATTTGAGTGGTGCTGGGGTCTGGATGATGCTGTGTGTGGAGGAACCTGCTCCTCCTGAAGCACTGTTTCTTGAGGAGTTAATCTAACAGCTGCTCATCTTTTGCGCCAAACAGGTGAATGTGTGCTCCATAGACCTCGCTACTGAATTCAGGTCTGGGCTGGAGAAATGGCCGCTGTGTAGCCTTAGTTCCAGAGATGAAAGTCTTAAAGAAATCAGGCTCAACCCAAGGGAATCAGATGCAGAGAACAAAACAAATTAATTTTTGGAGGAAATTGCTTTTTGCCTCTCCTGTCTAGCGCCCTTTTATTTGATTCTTGGGACTGTATATAAGTTCGTTACAAACAATCAATTTGATATTTTCCACCTGCTAATCAATAAATATTAAATATTGGTGAATCCGATTTGGGAGTGTCTGGTGGGCCTGGGTCCTCAGAAGGCTAGCTGTGTCTCAGCTGCCTTGTAGGGTTTCTTCTCCTAAACTGGCCTGATGACCCTTTGGGACTTCCATTCCCTGAACTTGAGTGTTGGGTCTCTTCCAAATGACAACCGTTCCCATGATGAACAGCAGCCTGTGAGGTCCCCCTGGACATCAGTTGGGTCCAACAGGAACAGAGGTGATGATTTGGCCATTTAAATTTCCTCAGATGGAGAATTTGACCTTGAAGCTTCATGGCTTGGTGGCAGGAGCTAAAGATGAAGGCTCGGAGGCAGAGGAGAGACGGACGGTAGGGAAAGGATGACAAGATGCTGAAAGGGACTGAGGAGGCGGCTCAGTTGGAAAAGTGAGCAGACACAAGTTCAACCCCCAGAACTGGGCTTTGTAGCATGCATGCTTGGAATCCCAGCCCCGTGGAAATGAAGGCCAGCCAGATTCCTGGTGTTCTAACCAGAGAGAGAGCTTGTCTCAGAGAGACAGACGGTATCTTCTGTTGCATGCTTGTATGCAGATACACAAAAGGGAAGAAGCTGACCACACAATCCTCCTTGGAATTTTTCTTCTTCCCACCCCCAAACTCTTTTCTCCCAATGTGTGACTTCATATAAGGACAGAGGGGAAGAAGAGGAAAAGGAAGAGAAATGGGGTGGTAGGGAGGGTGAGGAGATGGAGGAGAGAAGGAGAGGGACTCAGGGTCAAGCCGAATAAGATCGTATCACTCCAGTTGGAAACTCCTTCTTGATGGGGTGACGCAGTGTACTCCTGGGAGTGACAGTCACATAAACGGCTTGACTCAGCTTCATGTGGTGGGTGAAGAGGTGAGGGCAGGTCCCTCTGCCTGCAGAGTAGGATGTGGAGGCAGTTTCGAGAAGGATGTGGGGCTGAGCTAAGGCTTAAAGGATGTGATATTCTCTAGACAGACCCAAGGAAGCAGTCAGAACCACTGGCCTGTGCCATGCCCTGCCTGTTCACATCTCATTTGCAGAGGATGAAGTCCAGTTATAGTTGAATAGCTATATGGGACTTGGGTCCTGGAGTGCTTTAAGTATCTTGCTACGAGATTAATGGTTCAAGCTGAAGAGACATGCAGGGATGCAGAGACCTGATTCCGTGCTACCCAGAGAAACCTCCACCTCTAGCTTCTAACTCTTGGTCTGTGACAGTACAAGTAACCCAGAGCGACATGGAGCATCTCATTTCAGGGTCATCTCATTTGAGGGCATAGCCAGTGAATAAAGACCTGACTGTGTTGCTGCTCTGGCCTGTTCCTGTCCATGTGATGATAGTCAGAGGCAGAGTCTTTGGGCTTCTGGGGTGCTGAAATTAGAAGACTAGTACATGCCTGCAGACAGCTGCCTGCCTGTCAGCCTGTTTATAGGGTGAATAAAATATATCATATTTACTTGTCAGTTCTTGAATTCTCTTCAACTTCCCAACAGCTGGAACCCTCTTCTTTTTCTGGCATAGGTGCTTGGATCCACATGGGGTATGATGCAGAATCCTCATAAATGGGTTAAATAAGCCTATCAGAGAGGCTAAAAAGTCTGGGATCTTCTGGCCTGGGGACTGAAGGCAGGTCGACCCACCCCCAGTAGACCAAGCAACCAAGAGTCTCCTGATATAACAGTGCTACTTCCACCCCCACTCAGGAGAGAGGTGAGCATGGGCCCCTGTCTCAGGCCCAACTTCCACTTGCCCACTCTGGGATCTCCTAGCCATAGGGACTGCAGGCAGCTCGACTTGTCCCCAGTGGACCAAGCAACCCAGAGTCTGCTGACATCACAGTGCTAGTTCCACCCCCCACCCACCATGAGAGGGAGTGTCTCAAATCTGCTTGCACCCACCATGTGACCCATCAGAGCATTGGACCTGTTTACACCCACCAGAAGAGAACTTAGGACCCATACCCACCAGGAGAGGAAAAGACCCCTCCTGCACCCACTGGAAAAAGGGATGGAAAGATGTCAATATAAGAACACAGTCAACAACAGAAAAACCATTATGACACCACCAGAGTATAGGGACTGTACACCAGCAAGAACTGAAGATCCCAACACAGATTAAGCAGATGAGAATAATCTTAAAAACAACTTCACAAAGATGATAGAGACCCTAAAAGAGGAAATGAGAAAATCCTCTAAGAAAATGGAAGAAAAGACAAACCAAAAATTGTAAGAAACAATTCAAACAGTACAAGGTTTGAAAGCTGAAATAGAGACAATAAAAAAAAACACAGTCTGAAAGAACGCTTGAATTAGCAAAGGTAAGTAAACAATCAGGAACTACACATGTAAGCATAACCAACAGAATACAAGAGTTGGAAGAGAGAATCTCAGGCATTGAAGATTCACTAGGAGAAATAGATTTGTCGACCAAAGAAAATCTTAAGTCCAACAGATCCCTAACACAAAATATCGAACATGGAACACAATGAAAAGGCCAAATCTATGAATGATAGATAGAAACTGAAGAAACCTACCTCAAAGGTGCAGAAAACATGTTCAACAAAATCATAGAAGAAAACTTTCCCAACCTATAGAAAGACATGCCAAAGAAAGTACAAGAAGCCTACAGAACACCAAATAGAGTGGACCACAAAAAAAGTTCCCTTGCCACTTAATAATCAAAACCTTAAACATACAGAATAAAGAAAGAATATCAAGAGCAGCAAAGGAAAAAGGCCAAGTAACATAAAGGCAAGCTTATCAGAATCACACCTGACTTCTCTATGGAAATTCTGAAAAGTCAGAAGTTCCTGGATAGATATTATACAAACACTAAGAGACCACAGATGCTAGCCCAGACTACTATATCCAGCAAAACTTTCAAATGCTGTATATAGAGAAAACAAGATATTCCACGACAAAACCAGATTTAAACAAGGAGACTTACTATTTCAGCCCTACAGAAAGTACTGGAAGGAAAACGCCAACCTAAGGAAGGTAGCTACACTCACAAAAACATAGGCAATAGATAATCTAACTTTACCAAAAGCCAAAAGAAAAAGTTGGGTAAATCCACAAGCAATAACACCACCACCAACAAATCAAAAACAAACAAGAATTAATACTCAATGGTCCTTGATTTCCCTTAATGTTAATGGTCTTAATTTGCCTATAAAAAGACACAGGCTAACAGAATGGATTTGAAGACAGAATCCATCCTGCTGCATACAAGAAACACACCTCGACTTCAAAGACAGATGTTACCTCAGAGTAAAGGGTTGGGATAAGATTTTACAATTAAAAGGACCCATGAAACAAGCTGGTGAAAATATCCTAATATCTAACAAATTAGGCTTCAAACTAAAGTCAATCAAAAGAGATGAAGAAGGTCATTTCACATTCATCAGAGGAAAAATCCAAATACAAAAAAATATACCTTCTTCACAGCACCACATGGAACCTTTTATAAAATCGATCACATACTCAGCAACATAGCAAACCTCAACAGATTAAAAAAATCTAAATAACCCCCTATACCTTATCAGACCACCATGCTTTAAAGTTAGAATTCAACAACAACAGAAAGCCTACAAACTCATGGAAATTGGACAATGTACAACTGCACCATTCCTGGGTCAAGGAAGAAATAAAGAAATTAAAGGCTTCCTACAATTCAATGAAAATGAAGACACAGCATACCCAAACTTATTGGACACTTAAAAATCAGTATTAAGAGGAAAGTTCATGGCACTAAGTGCCCACATGAATAA